GGGAAAGGTGCCTGGGACGGAGGGGGGGCACTTGGGGAAGAGGGCATCTGCAGTCTGGTCCCCTTGCAGCTCCAAGCTTTTTGAAACATGGACCGGATCACATCAACTCCTCTCTCTCCTTTTGTGGGCTTGGAATAAAAGCCTAACCCATCACTGAGGCACGCCCCTAGGCACCCCTCATCTCCACATTACTCTTCATGGATTCCGTGAACACCCCAAGCTTTGTGCATGTGCAGCTGCTGCCCTAACTGTCCTACCCTGCCCTTTGACCTGGCTCACTCCTGCCTTTGGTTTCAAGGTCACTCTCTGAAGGGGAACGTGGCTGGCTTTTACCTGCTCAGCATTCCCGTTTCCCAGTCAGTGGTCCTTTGGAGGCCACCCCCTTCCCTATTCCCAGCCTAGGGGGTCCATCCTCCTCCCCAGGGTTGTGCCCCAGACCCTGCCAATCAATGAATTCCAAATCCAGCAGGACACGCGACAGGCTCGGGGAAGGCCTGCTGGGTCACAGGCCAGTGCCGTGCAATTCTGGGTCACACTGGCCAAGCAACTCTCTTTTCTGTGGATGGAACACTGGTGTCCCCCTAGAGCTGTTGCCCTCTCCTCGTCTCTCGCTGTGGAGTAGAGACTGCTCCTGGGAATGAGGCCAACACCGCGGAAAGCACAGCCAGAGAGAGCGCCCCTGGATGCAGCCATGCCTGAAGCTACTTTAACCCTGGAGTTCATAATCACCATTCCTCTTATGGCAACGTCAGCTAATGGGTGGAGCTTTCTATCACTTATCCTGGCTAAACCTGCCCAGTCCACATGCCAAAGTCCAACTGTCCCCCCGAACTCTTACACAGAACCCTGTATAATTCCACTATTATTTATATGTGATTGTTTAATGTGCAACCACATGATTATCTGGTCTAAGGTCTCCCCTAGTCTGAGCCCCCCTCCCATCTCCCCCAGAGGCCAGGACAACATCTGGCTGGTCCGCAGATGTAGCCCCAGCACAGCAGCTGGTGCATGGTGGGTGCTCATTAGTCACGTGCGGGGCTCCTCTCCAGATTCCTGGGGCCCAGCACGTGGTCAGCCAGGCACGGAGGAAGGAACCTACAGTGGCTAAGGGTCTGGGCTCTAGTCAGAGAGGGCCCGGTTCAAATCCCAGCTCGGTCAAGCTGTCTGTCCTCTCTGAGCCCAGCTCACCAGCCAGGGACAGTGCTGGCCCCACTCACAGGGCTGAGGTGAGGGTGGAATGAGTACCTGGTGCAGGGTAAGTGCCCACTGCTGTGGGTGACAGAGTGCTTGGACAGGGGTGCCCCAGCCAGGAGACCAGCTGTCCCATGGGGTCTGCTCGAGGTCAGGGCCCTAGCGCAGAACATGCAGTTGCCCAAGAGTTGGTAAAGGCTCTTTATTCAGTCCGGAGGTGGCGCTGGCCTGGCAGGGTGAGGGCAGGGGCTGCCTGGGGCCAGTCTTCAGCCCCGGAGCCTCCACTCCCCAGGGAAATCCAGGCGGGGCTGGTAGGCGCCAGGGTACCAAGACCTGCAGGGTGAATCTCCGGTGATGATAGCGGTGAGCCCTCCAGACGCGAGGTGGCCCGTTGCAGGAAATCAGGCTATTGTTGT